TTGAAGAACCGAAACATTGCAAAATCTCAGAACTGAAATACTGAAAAACTGAAAAATGGAAGGAAAATTGAAAAATCGAAAAAGTGAAAAAATTCAAAACTGACATCTTGAAAAACTGAAAAATGGAAAGAAAATTGAAGAATCGGAAAAATGAAAAAATCCAAAACTGAAACATTGAAAAATCCAGAAATCGTAAAATTGAAAAATCACAATTGAAGAAAGAATTGAAAAATCAAGAAATATAGAAATGGGAAAATCAAAAAATCAGTTAATCGAAAAATTGAAAAATCGAAAAATTTAGAAACGTCAAAAATTGAAAACTGAAAAATAAAAAAAATTTAAAATCGTAAAACGGAAATATCAGAAAGTTAATAAATTGAAAAACTGAAAATTAAAAAAGAAATCGTATCAAAAACTAAAAATTCAAAAAATCGAGAAATTGAACAATCAAAAAATCAAAACATTGAAATTCCAGTAAGTTGATAAATAGGAAAATTTAAAAAACAAAAATTTTAAAAATCCAAGAATTGAACAACAAAAAAAATCTAAGCCTGAAAACCCAGAAAATTGAATGATCGAGAACAAAAAATCTAAAATTTAAATATTCGACAATTTGAAAAATCATGGAACTGAAAAATCGATAAGTCGAGATAGCGAGAAATCTAAAAACCTAAGACTTTAAAAACTGAAAAATTAAAATATCGAAAAATTGAAAAACCGAGAAATCGAAACATCAAAAAATGGAAAAATTGAAGAACCGAAACATTGCAAAATCTCAGAACTGAAATACTGAAAAACTGAAAAATGGAAGGAAAATTTAAAAATCGAAAAAGTGAAAAAATTCAAAACTGAAATCTTGAAAAACTGAAAAATGGAAAGAAAATTGAAGAATCGGAAAAGTGAAAAAATCCAAAACTGAAATACTGAAAAATCCAGAAATCGAAAAATTGAAAAATCACAATTGAAGAAAGAATTGAAAAATCAAGAAATATAGAAATGGGAAAATCAAAAAATCAGTTAATCGAAAAATTTAGAAACGTCAAAAATTCAAAACTGAAAAATAAAAAAATTTAAAAATCGTAAAACTGAAATATCGGAAAGTTAATAAATTGAAAAACTGAAAATTTTTGAAAAAAAAATCGTATCAAAAACCAAAAATTAAAAAAATCGAGAAATTGAACAATCAAAAAATCAAAACATTGAAATCCCAGTAAGTTGATAAATAGGAAAATTTAGAAAACAAAAATTTAAAAAATCCAAGAATTGAACAACAAAAAAAATCTAAGCCTGAAAACCCAGAAAATTGAATGATCGAGAACAAAAAATCTAAAATTTAAAAATTCGACAAATTGAAAAATCATGGAACTGAAAAATCGAAAAGTCGAGATAGTGAGAAAACTAAAAACCCAAGACTTTAAAAACTGAAAAATTAAAATATCGAAAAATTGAAAAACCGAGAAATCGAAACATCAAAAAATGGAAAAATTGAAGAACCGAAACATTGCAAAATCTCAGAATTGAAATACTGAAAAACTGAAAAATGGAAGGAAAATTGAAAAATCGAAAAAGTGAAAAAATTCAAAACTGAAATCTTGAAAAACTGAAAAATGGAAAGAAAATTGAAGAATCGGAAAAATGAAAAAATCCAAAACTGAAACATTGAAAAATCCAGAAATCGAAAAATTGAAAAATCACAATTGAAGAAAGAATTGAAAAATCAAGAAATATAGAAATGGGAAAATTAAAAAATCAGTTAATCGAAAAATTTAGAAACGTCAAAAATTGAAAACTGAAAAATAAAAAAAATTAAAAATAGTAAAACTGAAGTATCGGAAAGTTAATAAATTGAAAAACTGAAAATTTTTGAAAAAAAAATCGTATCAAAAACCAAAAATTAAAAAAAACGAGAAATTGAACAATCAAAAAATCAAAACATTGAAATCCCAGTAAGTTGATAAATAGGAAAATTTAGAAAACAAAAATTTTAAAAATCCAAGAATTGAACAACAAAAAAAATCTGAGCCCGAAAACTCAGAAAATTGAATGATCGAGAACAAAAAATCTAAAATTTAAAAATTCGACAAATTGAAAAATCATGGAACTGAAAAATCGAAAAGTCGAGATAGTGAGAAATCTAAAAACCTAAGACTTTAAAAACTGAAAAATTAAAATATCGAAAAATTTAAAAACCGAGAAAACACAATATCAAAAATTTGAAAAATTGAACAAACGAAATATTGCAAAATTCCAAAACTGAAATATTGAAAAACCTAAAAATGGAAGGAAAATTAAAGAATCGAAACAGTGAAAAAATCCCAAACTGAAACATTGAAAAATTGAGAAATGGAAAAATGGGAAAATCAAAAAAATTGGTCTAAAGAGTTTAGACAGTACTTCCCTCAATATCGAAAACGTGACGACTGCATGCCTATTATGTTTTTTTTTTCACATTGGATTTCAAAGCATTCGGTTTTGTAGTTCCTGATTAAATCAATAAAATAAATTTACGCATTCATTAATTTTTGGGGTCATCCTGTATATGCAAATTCAAAAAACATGAATGGAATGATAAATCACAAGAAGAGACTCATCATATTTTATACAATTTAGATAGGATTTATTCAGCAAAATTTTGAGGTGACGTCATCAATTTTTTAGAGGGGATAAGTAAATATATTGTGAATAAAACGGTCCTGGTTTAATAACAAAAAAAATATTGTTCGTCTATAAAACAAGCTCGTCTTAGACAAAGTATTCGTAAAAAAAATTTGTGGTAAAAAATTTACGTATAATGGATATAGAAACATTTCTGACAGCCAAAGAGGTTTTTTTGAAAAAAATATCCTTGAATTTAGACCAAATTGAAATAGACACTAGGCAACAGGCACATTTGGGCAAAAGAAAGAGAAATTAGGGTTACGGCTTCAAATTTTGGACGTATTTAGAAACTTAGACCGACTACAGCAATAGTTGAAACTGTGGAGTCTCTGTTGTACACTACATTTAGAAGTAATAGTCATATATACTATGGACAGCAAAGTGAGGAAAAAGCTGTCAAGTGTTTTGAAATAAATAAAAATATAAAAACTGAAAGGTGTGTCTTGTTTATTTCAAAACAATTTCCTTACTTGGCTGCTAGTCCAGACAGGGTTCTAGAGGATAGGAGTGCATTAGTCGAAATTAAATGCCCTTCAAAAGCGCAAGATTTGTCTCCCGAAGAAACGATTAGAAAAAAAATAAACAAATTTTGTACATTGACAGACAGAGAATTGAAACTAAAAAAAATCATGATTACTACTTTCAAGTCCAGGGACAAATGCTTGTTACGGGTATTTCACAAGTTTATTTTGTTGTATGGACACCCAAAGGAATAAATATAGAAAACATTTATAAAGACGAAGAAATATATGTAAAAAGATGGCAGATAAACTTGGCAGATTTTACTTTGGCGCATTATTGCCCAAAATAATTGATTCAAGACGAAAGAGGAACTTGCCTTTGCGAGAGATTTTTTTTAAATAAATAAAATTTGTTTCTATTTTTTATGTACTTTAATAATTTATTGGGAGTACATTTTTCATCACCAAGACTTGCATACTTTTATTATAAATATATTTTAAAAATGATCTCTCGGCAAATGAAAACATATACGAGCACTTTTTTCTAGTAAACAATGAAGGGAGAAGTTACTGGGCGTAGGGCTTTTTTAAAACACCTCCTTTCTGGGATAAGTAGTAGATACACTTAGCTACTTATACGTGTTAAACAAAAGCTGTATTTTATATATTTTTTATTATTATTATAAATATGTTTATTAGTTTTATTAATTAACAAAGCAAAATATATATTAACAATAATATTACAATGAATTTTTAGTAATCATGTGTATTGAATTCAGGATCCTGAGTGGAGTAAAAATATTATAGTTCCCCAGTTTTAATTCGGTTTTATGATAGTACCTCATTGCGTAAAAGTTAATTTCCTTAACAATAGATTACTACGGCCGGTCCTGGCGGCTTGTTATAAAACTGAGTTCCTTGCCATAAATTAGAAAAATCAGCTGAGAACTCTATAAGGCCCGGTTTTACAATGCAAGCTTAAGCGAGGTTCAAAGATAAGCCTTGGTTCAACTGCAGTTGTCCGTTTTACAATACATGGTTCAATGTTAAACCGCGCTCAAACGAAGGCTCAGCTGAGCGCTGATGTCAGGGTGGTTTTAGAGTCCCTGTAGAGTCCCTCTACAGGGACTCTAGGTGGTTTAAGCTTCGCTCAACTGTCCATAACCTCAAATGTCTGTGCTTTATCGTTTTGGTGGTGTGACAGCATTATAATTGAAGATGGAAAATTTATTAGGAGTATTAACTGACGATGAAGACGTTTTAGAAATGATAAACATATTAGAACCGGCACGTATGCGACGACCAAAAGTTTTTCAGTTGAGAGAAAATCACTTTGAAAAGTGAAATGCTGGGGAATTTTTGAAACGATTTCGTTTTTCCAAGACTGGCGTACGGTTTATTTTGCAACAAATACAGGAGCAAATTACATCGCGAACAGAAAGAAATCATGCAGTATCACTGGAGCAAATGCTACTTGTGACTTCACGTTTCCTTGCCACTGGATCTTTTCTGCAAGTTGCTGGTGACTTTATAGGGATTAGTAAAGCAACAGCTTCTCAAATAATTAATGTTTTGGGGTGTGGAAAAGACGCTTTCCAGCATTGGCTTTTGGAATTCGTTTAAAAATGTGTAAATTAGAGGCAGTGGTTGTGGCAACAGCAGTTTTACACAACATTGCAATTATTTTAAATGAAGAAGAACCGCCAGTGGACGCAGAAGAAGAAGCAGCAGTGAATTTTGTGAACGATGTTCTAATTGAAAACATTGGAGAATATAGTGGCAATTATAATCAGAACAATTTTGTACGGAACCAGTTCATCAGAGAATATTTTACTCATTTGCTTCTTTTGATTTCGTTTTTAGTTGCAGTAAATAATAAAATGTAATGTAATTATTTATTTAAGTTTTATTATTTAAAATATTAAATTTTTGGGCAATTAATATTTCAATCTTCATTTGGTGTTCTGCTTTATTACTTCTAATTCAAGTGCAGCTTTGTCTCTCATAATTTGCATTTCTAGTTCATGTTTCTCTTTCATGGCTTTTAATTTAAACTCTTGCTCCTTTTGGATGTATTCCTTTCGACTTAGTTCGACAAGTTCTTTGGCAGCGGCACATTGCTCTAAATTATCACTTGTCTGGTTTCCTTTACCTATACAAACAATACATTAATAAAGTTTTAAGACAAGTGTCAAACATTTTTTAATATAAATATATATGCATATAATACCTCTACGATATGGCGTGAGTGCTGAAAATTTTTTTTGCTTCAAGATTTTGGGGGAGTATTTAGCCCAATTCCCAGTTTGACCATTTTCTACAAAAATAACCATATTTGATTATTATTAATGTTTACCACTTTCTTTATTGGGACCACTTATTTTATCCATAACAGGCACTTCTCTCGAAATTGCTCCGGTTTGATCTTTTGGCATAAAACAATGTGAAATAAAGAAAAAATAGTAAAAAATTTCTGAATAAAGTGTATGTAAGGATAAAAAGTATTTACCATCATTTTCGTCATCAGACAGATTATACCGCTGTTACTTTGGAATGCTGAAAAGCATCAACATTTTAATTTTACAATACATATTATTCATAAAAATACTTATTACAGGTTGTTTCGGAATCGCCATCAAATTCGCTGCTATGCCCCATTGGTTTGGCCCCGAGAATTTCTTTTACAGCCACATCAACATCGGTGGCCTCAATACTTTGTTGTGACCCTCTCCCAGTACCACCGACATAGGCTTTCTCGTCAGCAAATTTTTTCGTTGTCCTCTTCTTAATGTTGTCGTACTTTTTGTTCAAAACTTTGTGATCCCGGAAGGTCTGGCCAGATAAAGAATTGAACTCTACTTCAATTTTCTTCCAACACTGATTTTTTTTTTTTTTGATTTGCATCAGTGTTGGACAATTTACACTCCAGAATATTTCTATACTTGCTTACTAAAGATAGGAGCAAGTTTTCTTCGGATTTTGTAAAATTCGGAGCACGTGTATTACTCATCTGAAACGAAATGTTAAAAACCATCATAATCATCTACTATTAACGAGCAAATGTTACATATACACATATACGTACCCCAGTAACGCAAAAAACTAATTACTTTGCAGAATTTGTCACAAATAATTTATAATAATGTGACATGATGACATAGATGACAACAACAACACACTTCCAACGTGCTCCCAACGTGGTCTCAACTGTCAGATTCTCGGGTGCGCGCTACCAACCTAAGGAAATTTGTGGTTCAGCTGAACCGGACGATAGCGGTGTTTGTAAAACGGACGCATGAATTGAACCTCAGTTCAGTTGAACTCAAGTTCAGTTGAACTCGTGTTGAACCGGACATTTGTAAAACCGGGCCTAACAATCAGCTTATGGTAGAGCAGGCAGGCGATAAGGGTTTTACCTGGAAAGTCGCTTCCGTAAATTTTAGTGGCGCTCCTATCGGCAAAGTACTGAACTAACTGCTCAAATTCTGTCGAATTGATACCCATTTTTTTCAATAATTGTTAGTTTTGTTAAAAACTCTGCTAACCAATAGATCATTAATTTTCCTCTGATATTCCTGTTAAAATTATTCGACGTGTTTTGCATTAATTTGTGGTATATTTTGATTTTAATAAACACATTATTATTTAAACAAATTGTACCACTAACAAACATTTAATGACTCTGCGCCCTGTAAAAAGTGATGTTTTATCCATGTGCGAATTTTCAATCGATTCTATGATGGTTATGACTCAAAAAACTTGAAAAGAAAACATACAATGGTGCTTTTTTTACGATATTTCTCAGCCATATTTTTTTAGTTGATTGAAGTGGTCTCTGCGCTCTAGAATATGAAAAAAGCTACAGTTTGATGTATGATACATCTATATTAATATCATTTTTCATACAAAAAACCAAAAAAATGTTATACCTCGTCTAGCGAGTACCCTTAAGTGTGACTTATGCTTTCAGACCACCCAAATTCGACATCGACGCCGCCCTCCAGAACAAACGCATCAAAGACAGACACAGCTTCCTCAAGCAAAAAAAACTGCTGGAGGCTTACATGGCGCCTGCTACCACCACGCAAACCATCATTCAGCCCCAAACCACCACGAAGCAACTCCTCGTTGACGATTTCCAAGCCGCCAATTCGCCCAGCGTCCACGAAGACTACGACTACTACGGGTCCGGTGGAGACGATTACTAATAATTTATTAAACAAGCAGATTGTAACAGTTTTATTACATTTTAATGATACAATCATATACATGTATTTAGATTCGATTTGGAACTGTTTTAAATGAAACCAGGGAATAAAACGTAACTTCTAAAGTCGCTCCTCAACTCACCAGTTCGAAAATTAGTGAACCGTATGATAAAAACGGCGTAAATGTTATAAAAAATATAACAAAAAATATTGCCAAAATACAACTCCAATTCAATATTTTATAAATCTAGTAGAATATTCACAAAGTGATGTAACTCTTCAACTGCGATATAGTGTCGGCGTCCACCGTCTGTAGCAACTGCTCGTAGTGCTGTAGCCCGATCTGATTCCTAAGCTCGTACATCTGTAACAATAACACACGAATTTTAAATTGTTTTCGTCTGAATTCTTACCAACCGACTCACCTGCGACTGCAGATAGTCCTTCAAAACTATCGTGTGCACGGGATCCGACAAAATCAGCTGCTTTTTTCTCTGATCGTGGTCGGTTTCGTAGCCGTCGGCGTCCTCGTAGCTGCTGGGACTGCGTCCGTCCGCCACTAAAAGCGAGTCTTCCATGTCGTTCAGACACTCCAGAATGTTGACCATCACAGTTCCGAATCGTTCGAACACAGGCCTGCTCTGTGTCGTCAACAGATTCGTCAACGCTAAACCTAAGAGTTTCCTCTGCTCCAACTGCGAGACCATTGGCATTTTTGATAGCCAAACGTTGAGGATTTTGCCCAGAACCACCTCGTCCGTCTCGTTGTGGACTTGCGCCAGGGTTCGTAGCACTCGGGTGAAGACGTCGTGCGAGGATAGCAAGACTCGAGAGAGAATTGAAAGGTACATGGACATGAGGAGGGGGTAGTCCTCGCCTTCGTAGATTTTCCTGTGGGAGACGTAAAGGTTAAAGGCGTCCATGGTACCGGTGTTAAAAAGAGGTCCTAAAGTCAAAGTTCTACGAACAGGAGAAGCGCGTCGACTGTTGCAGCGAATCTCAACCAATTTTAGATTTTCTAAGGGTTCATGGTTTGTCCTGTGTCTTATCGAACCTCCTGAATAAGAATCTGGGGCCAAAAAAATTCTAGAGGGATTAGATTTTTTTTTATGTTTGATGATGTTGTAGATTCTAAATGAACAGAGAAATCTAGCTGAAAATATAAACTAGAACCGAATATTCGAAAATCCATTTCCATATGTGAATTTTTAGGCATCTTCACCATACGAAATTTTTGACATTTCTTCGATATTTTCCAAAAATCAGGGAAAGTGATTCTTTCGTTGATTTTGACCTACAGAAGTCGTTTTTGGTTTTATTTATTCGAAAATTCGTACCGTTTCTGCAAGGTCACCAGAACAAAAAAAGGTCAATTTTTGAGATACTATGAAAATTTTACTGAATATTATAAAAACCTTTTCTGAGACCACAAACACGCTGTTTTTCGATTCAACTCGTCCAGATCTATATCCCAGAATTTTCCGTGAATTTTTAGGCAACTTCACCATATGCAATTTTTTAGACCTAGAGAAGTTGTTTTTGGTTCCATTTCTCCGAAAATTCGTACTGTTTTTCGAAAGTCACCAAAAAATAAGGCGATTATTGAGATATTATAAAAAGTTACCCTTGAAACCTAATATCTGAAAAACTGTTGTCTGGGACCACAACTCACTATGTTTTTCGATTCAACTCAATTTTTCTGAATTTTTAGGCAACTTTACCATATAAAATTTTTTACATTTTTTTGAGATTTTCCATAAATCATCTGAAGAGATTTTTTTGTTAATTTCGACTTACGGAAGTCACTTTTGGTTTCGTTTCTTAAAATTCGTACAGTTTTTTCAAAACCACCTCAACAAAACACGGTAATTTTTGGGATATTATAAAAATTTTCCTTTGAAAACGAATATTTAAAAAACCTTTGTTAAGAACTATAAACACGCTATATTTTTGGATTCACCTCGTGGAGATTTATATCCTAGAATTTTTTGTGAATTTTTAGGCAGTCACCATATGAAATTTTTGACATTCTTTAGTCATTTTCCAAAAAAACAGCTGAAGAGATTTTTGTTGATTTCGGCCTACAGAAATCGTTTTTGGCTTTGTTTAAACAAAACAAGATATTTTTTTGGATCCTATTATAAAAATTTGACTTTCGAACCAAATATTTGAAAAATCTTTGTCTGGAACCATAAACACGCCATGTTTTTCGATTCAGCTCGTCCAGGTTTATCTATATCCTCGAATTTTTTGTAAATTTATAGGCAACTTTACCATGTTTTTCGATTCAACTCATCGAGATCTAAATCCTACAATTTTTTGTGAACGTTTAGGCAACTTCACCGTATGAAATTTTTGAAACAAAACACGGCAATTTTTGGAATATTATAAAAATTTGACTTTAGAACCGAATATTTGAAAAATCTTTGTCTGGAACCATAAACACACTGTTTTTCGATTCAGCTCGTCCAGGTCTATATGCTAGAATTTTTTGTGAATTTCTAGGCAACTTCACCATGTGAAATTTTTGGAGTTCTTTGGCCAATTTTCAAAAAAATCAGCCGAAGAGATTTGTTCGGTATTCGCGAACTTATGTAGTTTAAACTTAAAAGTCCCCATATCGGTTTGGACCACCCCCAGAGGGCTAACCATATGGGGAGAGGCCAGTAGCCTACGGTATTCGGCCGTAATAACATCTCGGAGCTACCGGTGCGAGTGCTTACAACACTTTATTCTTGTTTTGTGCGGTTTTCTCCACGATCACTACTACACGTCACTTCGCCAGGGGATCCCCGAAGCAACGAATTCAACGCACCTTAATCCATCGAGCCCAGGTAGGTCCACAAACGATAGTGGGGGTTTCGTTACCTGTCGGCTTCGTAATTTCGCGTACAACACGTACAAGATTTCTTGTTGATCTCGGCTTACAGAAGTCGTTTTTGGAATCAAATATTAGAAAAATCTTTGTCTGGGACCATTAACACGCTATGTTTTCCTATTCAGCTCTTCCAGGTCTATTGTCTAGAATTTTTGTGAATTTCTAGGCAATTTCATCATATGAAATTTTTGATCTTATTTCGAGAATTTTCCAAAAATCATCTGAAGATTTTTTTTTGTTGATTTGGGCCTACAGAAGTCGTTTTTGGTTTTATTTCTCTGAAAATTCGTACTATTTTTCGCATATCACACAAACAATATAAGGCGATTTTTAAGATACATATAACAATTTGACTTTTTAATCCAAGATTCGAAAAACCTTTTTTGAGACGACAAACATGCTGTTTTTCGATTCAACTCGTCCAGATCTATAGCTCAGAATTTGCCGTGAATTTTTAGGCAACTTCACCATACGAAATTTTTGACGTTCTGAAGCTAAAGATTTTTTTTTGTTGATTTCGGCCTACAGAAGTCGTTTTTGGCTATGTTTAAACAAAACACGCTATTTTTTTGGATCCTATTATAAAAATTTGACTTTGGAACCAAATATTTGAAAAATCTTTGTCTGGAACCATAAACACGCCATGTTTTTCGATTCAGCTCGTCCAGGTTTATCCATATTCTGGAATGTTTTGTGAATTCCTAGGCAACTTTAACATGTTTTTCGATTCAACTCATCGAGACCTATATCCTAGAATTTTTTGTGAATGTTTAGGCAACTTCACCGTATGAAATTTTTGAGACGTTTTTTCTAGAATTTTCCAAAAATCAGCTGAAGAGATTTTCTGTTGATTTCGACTTAAGAAGTCGTTTTTGGCATCTTACCGATTTTCCAAAATCACAAACAAAACACGGCAATTTTTGGGATATTATAAAAATTCGACTTTAGAACCCAATATTTGAAAAATCTTTGTCTGGAGCCATAAACACCATGTTTTTCGATTCAGCTCGTCCAGGTCTGTATCCTAGAATTTTTTGTGAATTTCTAGGCAACTTCACCATATGAAATTTTTGAAGTTCTTTAGCCAATTTTCCAAAAAATCAGCTGAAGAGATTTCTTGTTGATCTCGGCTTACAGAAGTCGTTTTTGGAATCAAATATTTGAAAAATCTTTGTCTGGGACCATTAACACGCTATGTTTTCCTATTCAGCTCTTCCAGGTCTATTGTCTAGAATTTTTGTGAATTTCTAGGCAATTTCATCATATGAAATTTTTGACCTTCTTTCGAGAATTTTCCAAAAATCATCTGAAGCATTTTTTTTGTTGATTTGGGCCTACAGAAGTCGTTTTTGATTTCATTTCTCTAAAAATTCGTCCTAAATATTTTTCGCATATCACACAAACAATATAAGGCAATTTTTAAGATACATATAAAAAAAAACACGGTAATTTTTGGGATATTATAAAAATTTTCCTTTGAAAACGAATATTTAAAAAACCTTTGTTCAGAACTATAAACACGCTATGTTTTTGGATTCACCTCGTGGCGATTTATATCCTAGAATTTTTTGTGAATTTTTAGGCAAAGTCACCATATGAAATTTTTGACATTCTTTAGTCATTTTCCAAAAAAAAACAGCTCAAGAGATTTTTATTGATTTCCGAAATTTTTGACGTTGTTTCAACATTTTCCAAAATTGGAGAAAGTAACTCTTCTGTTGATTTCAACCCACACAAATCGTTTTTGGTCTCATTTCTTAGAAAATTCGTATCGTTTTTCCAAAATCACCTAAACAAAAGACGGCAATTTTTGGGATATAAAAATTTTACTTTGGAACCGAATATTTGAAAAACCTTTATCTGGGAGCACAACCCACTCTGTTTTTCGATTTAGCTCGTCGAGAGCTATATCCTAAAATTTTTTGTGAATTTTTAGGCAACTTCACCATATGAAATTTTTGACGTTCTGAAGCTGAAGAGATTTTTTTTTGTTAATTTCGACCTACAGAAGTCGTTTTTAATTTCATTTCTCTCAAAATTCGTACTGTTTTTCGAAAATCACAAAAAAAAAAATTAGTCGATTATTGAGATATTATAAAAAGTTATCCTTGAAACCCAAAATTTGAAAAATAGTTGTCTGAGACCACAACCCGCCATGTTTTCGATTAAGCACGTCGAGACCTATATCCTAGAATTTTTTGTGAATTTTTAGGCAACTTTCCTATATGAAATTTTCTACATTCTTTTGACATTTTCCAAAAATCGGAGAAACTGATTCTTTTGTTAATTTTGACTTACGGAAGCAATTTTTGGTTTCATTCCTTAAAATTCGTCCGTTTTTTCAAACTCACCAGAACAAAAAAAAAAAAGGCAATTTTTTAGATATTATACAAATTTTGACTTTGCAACTGAATATTTGAAAAATCTTATGTGTTTCGATTCAGCTCGTCGAGGTCGATATCCTAGAATTTTTTGTCAACTTCACTACATGAAATTTTTGACGTTCTTTCGACATTTTTCAAAAATTGGAAAAAGTATCTCTTTTGTTGATTTCAACACACAGAAATCTTTTTTGGTTTCATTTCTTCGAAAATTCGTACAGTTTTTCTAAACAAAATGAAGCCATTTTTGAAATATAAAAATTTGACTTTGGAACCGAACATTTGAAAAACCTTGGTCTGGAACCATAAAAACGCTATGTTTTTCGATTCAGTTCGTCAAGATCAATATCCCAGAATTTTTTGTGAATTTCTAAGTAACTTCACCATATGAACTTTTTGACGTTCCTTTGTGAATTTTCCAAAAATCAGCTAAAGAGATTTTTTTGCTCATTTAGACCTACAGAAGTTGTTAAATTCAAGCAATTTTGAGATACTATGAATTTTACATTAAAACCTTTGTCCAGAACCATAAAAACGCTCTGTTTTTTGAAACAACTCGTCGAGATTTATAAACTACAAGTTTTTGTGAATTTTTAGGCAAATTCACCATATGAAATTTTTTCTGTTCTTTCGTCATTTTTCAAAAATGAGCTGAAGAGATTTTTTGTTGATTTAGGCCTACAGAAGTCGTTTTTGGTTTCATTTCTTCGAAAATTCCTACCGTTTTTTCGAAAACAACACGGCAATTTTTGGGATATTATAAAAATCTGATTTTCGAACCGACTATTATAAAAACGTTTTCTAAGACCACAAACACGCTGTTTTTCGATTCAACTCGTTCAGATCTATATCCCAAAATTTTTCGTGAATTTTCAGACAACTTCCCCATATGAAATTTTTGACGTTCTGAAGTTGAAGAGATTTTTTAGTTGATTTCGACCTACAGAAGTCGTTTTTGGATTCATTTCTCCCAAAATTCGAAAATCACCAAAAAAAAAATTAGTCGATTATTTATTGAGATATTACAAAAAGTTATCCTTGAAACGTAAAATTTGAAAAATAGTTGTCTGAGACCACAACCCACCATGTTTTCGATTAAGCTCGTCGAGAGCTACATCCTACAATTTTTTGTGAATTTTTAGGCAACTTTCCTATATGAAATTTTCTATATTCTTTTGACATTTTCCAAAAATCGGAGAAAGTCATTCTTTTGTTAATTTTGATTTACGGAAGCAATTTTTGGTTTCATTTCTTAAAATTCGTAACCGAATATTCGAAAAACTTTTGTCTGGGACCATAAACACGCTATGTTTTTGGATTTAGCTCGTCGAAATCTATATTCCAGACATTTTTGTGACTTTTTGGACAACTTCACCATATCATATTTTTGACGGTTTTTCGAGAATTTTGCAATTTTTCCGGAGCTATTCCGGTTAAAATTTTCGAACTTTGGTCACATCTTCGCTTACGCTCGGGACGTAAAAACACATGTTTCGTCTAACTTGTATATGGAACACCCACCTTATTTAGTTTTAAAGTGTATTAAAATCACCCATTTTTAAAAATAATAAAAGCTCCGCGTGGGTTACAAAAATTGACTTTAGGACCTCCATTCGCTATTCGGTGCTAAAACACGAATCTCGTTTACTTACTGGAATATCCTCGGCAAAATAGGGAACACCGTCTCGCACCCTAAAATCGGCGACGACCTTATAAAAATCTCCAACATCCTTATCAGCATCACGATCCCCTCATTCTTCATATCTCCCATCAAATTATCACAAACGGTGATCACTTGCACCCCGTGCGTCCTCATGACTAAATCTGGCGCCAGCAGCGTGTGAACTAAGACGATTAATAAGCAAAGCCTCAAATTCTCAGTTGAATATTCTAAAAAAAAAAATAAAAAAATGAATAAAAGACGTTTTTTTTATTTAAAGTGCACGAAAAACCTCACCTAGCAGCGCCGGCATGTTATTAAAAAGCTGCAAAAGCTCGTTTGACATCGCCGTCGAGTTCTCCAGCACCGTCAACCACAGCTCCAGGCAGTCCTCCAACAAGTACACGATGGCGCTCTGGTTCGTGTCTGTCCCCAGCTGGATGATCGGCAGCAAGAACGGGTTCAGCTCCGAGCTGACCGACCCTAGAGCTTTCACCAGCTGGACCAGCGTCGACACGATGGCGCATCGCAGCATGTTGTGGTCCTCCGACTCCGTCCAGAGCAGCGGCAGGTAGTGGATCAGCGCGTCGGTGTGGGGCTTTATCGTCTGGCCCACCCTCTCCACCATTAGTGTCATCACGTTCAGCACGTGCATCTGCAACAATACAAGTATAGGTGGTTACTCAATTTTTCGATGTCAGTTTCGGAATTTTTCCGTTCTTCAATTTCTCGATTTTTTAAATTTTTGGTCTCTTTTTTTATTTTTCGATTTCCCGATATTTCACTTTTAAGATTTTTCAATTTTTGGATTTTTTAATTTCCCGATTTTTCAAATTTTCGAGTAATTTTTTTTTATTTTTCGATTTCTCGACTTTCCAATATTTTAGTTTTACGATTTTCATTCTTGCGCTTTTCAAATTTTCAATTTTGAATTAATCAATTTTTGCGTTTTTCGACTTTTCAATGTTTCGATTTCTCGATTTTTTTCATTTCTCAGTTTTTCAAAATGTCAATTTTGGAAATTTTCAGCATTTTGATTCTTCAATTTTTTTGATTTTTTCATTTTTCAAATTTTTACTTTTTTGCGTTTCTAACTTCTCGATTTGTCGAATTTTCGAATTCTCGATTTCTCCATTAATTTTTCCAGTTTTCGACTTTTTGGTTTCTCAATTTTTCAAATTTTCGATGTTCGATTTCCCGATTTGTCAATTTTACAATTTTTCGATTACCCAATTTTTCGATATTTCAGTTTTGGGATTTTTCAGTTTTTCAATTTCTCGATTTTTAAATTTTCAATTTCTTAATATTTTTATTTTTCGATTCCGACATTTCACTTTTAGGATTTTTCAATTTTTGGATTCTTCAATATTTCGATTTCTGACTTTCTCGATTTTTCAAATTTTCAAGTTCTTATTTTTTTTACGTTTTTCAAATTTTAAATTTTTTGTGTTTCTAAGTTTTGGATTTGTCTAATTTTCGAATTCTCGGTTTTTTGATTTTCCCATTTCTCGATTTCTCCACTTTTCGATGTTTCGATTTCTCGATTTTTTGATTTCTCAGTTTTTCGAAATTTCAGTTTTGGAATTTTTCAGTTTTTTGATTCTTAAATTTCTTAATTTTGCAATTTTTCAATTTCTCGAATTTCAATTACTCAATTTTTCCATGTCAGTTTTGGAATTTTTCAATTCTTTAATTTTTCGATTTTTCAATTTTTGGATTCAATGATTTTTCTCTGTCTGTTTTTTTTATCCCATTTCCCAATTTCTCGACTTCTTGCTTTCTCGAATTTTTGAGATCTCAGTTTTTCAGTTTTGACATTTTTTAGTATTTTGAATTTTTTGATTTTTCAATTTTTCGATTTTTAAATTTTTTTATTCTTCCATGTTTCGATTTTTCAATTTTTTGATTTTTCCACTTTTCAAATTTTTACGTTTCTAAATTCTCGATTTGTCGAATTTTCGAATTCTCGATTTCTCGACTAATCAATTTTTCCAGTTTTCGACTTTTTGGTATTTCAATTTTCCAAATTTTCGACGTTCGATTTCTCGATTTTTCGATTTCTTAGTTTTTGGGATTTTTTAGTTTTTGGTTCTTGAATCTTTTCAATTTCCCAATTTGTCAATTTTTCAATTTTTTTAACTACTCAATTTTTCGATCATCCAATTTTGAGATTTTTCAGTTCTTCATTTTCACGATTTTTAAATTTTCGATTTCTTAATATTTTTTTTTTCGGTTTCTCGATTCCGATATTTCAATTTTACAATTTTTGATTCTTCAATTTTTCGATTACTCAATTATTCAATGTCAATTTTGGAATTTTTCAGTTCTTCTATTTCTCGATTTTCAAATTTTCGATATCTCAATTTTTTTTATTATTATTATTCAATTTTTCGATTTTTTCAATTTTCAGTTTGTATACATGCTTGTTTTTGATTTGTCGATTTTGTCCAACTCTCGACTTCTCGATTAATTTTTCTATTTTTCGATTTCTCGATTCTCCGATATTTCAGTTTCTGAATTCTTGCATTTTTTAATTTTTGAATTTTTTGCGTTTCTAAATTTTCGATTTGTCGAATTTTCGAATTATCGATTTCTCAGTTAAGCAATTTTTCCATTTTTCGACTTTTCGATTTGTCGATTTTTTGATTTCCCAGTTTTTCAAATATTCAGTTTTGGATTTTTTCAGTATTTTGATTCATCAATGTTTCGATTTTTCAATTTTTTGATTTTTTCATTTTTGCGTTTCTAAATTCACGATTTCTCAATCACTCAATTTTTCGATTCCGATATTTCAGTTTTACGATTTTTGATCCTTCAAGTTTTCGATTACTCAATTATTCAATATGTCAGTTTTGGAATTTTTCAGTTCTTCTATTTCTCGATTTTTCAAATTTTCGATCTCATTTTTTTTATTATTATCATTAAATTTTTCGATTCTTCAATTTTTCCGTTTTTTAAATTTTTTTCGATTTCTCGATTAATTTTTCTAATTCTCGGTTTTTGGTTTTCTCATTTCTCAAATTTTCGATTTCTTATTTTTTTTATTTTTCAATTTCTCGAATCTCCAACATTTCAGTTTTTTGAGTTCTTGCGTTTTTCAAATTTGTATTTTTTTGCATTTCTAAGTTTTGAATTTGTCGAATTTTCGAATTCTTCATTTCTCAGTTAATCAGTTTTTCCGTTTTTTGACTTTTCGATTTTTTGATTTTCCCATTTCTCCATTTCCCGACTCATCGATGTTCCGATTTCCCGATTTCTCAGTTTTTCGAAATTTCCGTTTTTGAAAATTTCAGTTTTTTGATGCTCCAATTTTTTGATTTTCCAATTTTTCCTATTTTCGATTTCTCAATTTCTTCATTTTTTGACTTCTTGATTTTCCGATATTTTAGTTTTACATTTTTCCATCTTTCAAAAGGTAACTTTTCGCGTTTGTAAGTTTTCGATTTGTCGAATTTTCAAATTTTCGATTTCTTAATTTTTCAATACATATTTTAATTTTTAGATTTTTCGATTTCTCAATTTTTCAGTACTTCGATTTTTCTGTTTTATAATTTTTCGAATTTTAATTTTTTCGACTTTCGAAGTTTCGCCTTTTCAATTTTTCATTTTTTCTTTTTAATTTTCGAGAATTCAATTTCTCAGTTATTTAGGCTCTCGATATTTTAAATTTTGAATGTTTTAAATCTTGGATTTTTCGATTTCTCGATTTTTCAGTTTTTAGATTTTTCTATTTTTCAATTTTTCGCTTCTCGGTTCTAGGATTTTCAATTTTCCAATTTTTAAAATTTTTGATTTTTCGTTTATTAGCTTTTTTGATATTTCAATTTTTCAATTTTTCAGTTTCTCGATTTATCGAGATTTCGATTTTCAATTTTTCGTTTGTTCAATGTCCGGATTTTTATTATTTTTTTTTTTAAACGAACAACCGAAAGCAATTTTTCAATAGAAAAATTGGAAAAACGAACAACCGAAATGAACCGAAAAATCGAAATATTTTTCGATTTATCGATTTTTTTTAATTTAAAATTGTTCTATTTTTAATTTTTCGTTTGGGCTATTTCGAATTCTCAATGTTTCAATTATTTCTTTTTTTTCATTTTTTCGATTTTTCAAGTTTTCAACTTTTTGATTTTTCGATTATCTGCTTTAAACACGGGGTGATGAAAAGATGACGTCATTTTTTACTGTCCACAAAGGTCATTTTTAACACTTTTTATCGGAATTTTAATTTCGATGTTCTCGATTTTCCGATATTTTAGTTTTAGGTTTTTCTATCTTTCAAATGTTCGCTTTTTTGTGTTTCTAAGTTCTCGATTTGTCGAATTTTTAAATTTTACATTTCTCAATTATTTTTTTTCATTTTTCAACTTTTCGATTTTTCGACTTTTCAATTTTTAGATGCTTTAATTTTTCTGTTTTACAATTTTTCGAATTTTGAATTTTTCGACTTTGGAAGCTCTGATTTTTCAAATTTTAATTTTTTTGGCAATTGTACATTCTACCTTTTGACATTTTTCAATTTTTTTGAATTCTAGATCATTCAATCAATCAATCAATACTTTATTGATGTTAAAAACTTACAAATACAGTTTTTCGATTTTTCTATTTTCGATTTTTCGCTTCTCGGTTTTAGATTTTTCAATTTTTCAGTTTCTCGAGATTTCGATTTTAAAATTTTTCATTTATTCGATGTACCGATTTTTCCATTTTTTTAGTTTTTAATTTTTGGTTTGGGCTAATTTCGATTTTCTCGGTTTTCCGATATCTTATTTTTAAGCTTTTCCATCTTTCAAATGTTCACTTTTTTATGTTTCTAGGTTTTGATTTGTCGAATTTTTAAATTTTCCATTTCTCAATAATTTTTTTCATTTTTCGACTTTTTGATTTCTCGATTTTTCGACTTTTCACTTTTTTGGTTTTCCCATTTCTGGATTTCTCGACTTTTCGTCAATCCTTTGATTTTTAGATGCTTCAATTTTTAGATGTTTTAAATTTTAGATTTTTCGATTTCTCGGTTTTTCAGTACTTTGATTATTTTTCGAATTTTGAAATTTTCAACTTTCGACTTCCCAATTTTTTAATTTTTTTTTTTTTCAATTGTAGATTTTGCATTTTTCAATTTTTTTGAATTTTTGATAATTCAATTTCTCGTTTATTCAGTTTTTCGATATTTAAAATTTTAGATATTTTAAATCTTGGATTTTTTGATTTCTCGATTTTTCAGTTTTTCAATTTTTCATTTATTCGCTTTTTTGATGTTTCGATTTGTCAATTTTTCAATTTCTCGATTTGTCGAGATTTCGTTTATCAATTTTTCGTTAGCTCAGTTTCGCGATTTTTCTTTTTTTTTATTTTTTTCAGTTTAAAAATTTTTCGTTTGGGCTATTTTGATTTCGCGATTTCTCGATCTTCTCATGTTTCGATTTCTCGATTTTTCAATTTTTCAATTTCTCCATTTATCGAGATTTCGATGTGTCGGTTTTTCGGTTGTTCATTTTTCCAATTTTTCAATATTTCGATTTATCGATTTTTTTAGATTTAAAATTTTTCAATTTTTGATTTTTCGTTTGAGCTATTTCGATTTTTCGATCTTTTCATGCTTCGATTTCTTGATGTTTGAATTTTTCAATTATTCATTTTTTTGGGGTTTTCGATTTTTAGATTTTTGGATTTTCCAATTTTTCGACATTTTAGTGTTAGGATTTTTCAGTTTCAATTTTTTATATTTCCGATTTCTCAATTTCTTCATTTTTCGATTTCTCGATTTTCCGATATTTTAGTTTTAGATTTTTCCATCTGTCAAGTGTTCACTTTTTTGTGTTTCTACTTTTTGGATTTGTCGAATTTTTAAATTTTCCATTTCTCAATTATTTTTTTCATTTTTCGACTTCACGATTTCTCGACTTTCCAATTTTTTTGGTTTTCCCATTTCTCAATTCCTCGACTTTTCCTCAATTCTTTAGATGCTCTAATTTTCAGATGTTTTTAATTTTAGATTTTTCGATTTTCTGTTTTACAACTTTTCGAATTTTGAATTTTTCGAGTTTCGAAGTTCTGATTTTTCAATTTTTCAATTTGTTTTCAATTGTAGATTCTACCATTTTACGTTTTTATCGGTAATTCAGGTTTTGATATTTTAAATTTTGGATTTTTCGATTTCTCGATTATTCAGTTTTTCGATTTTTCGATTTTTAAAATTTTTGATTTTTCGTTTATTCGCTTTTTTGATGTTTCGATTTTTCAATTTTTCAGTTTCTCGATTTATCGAATTTTTAAATTTTCCATTTCTCAATTAATTTTTTTCAATTTTCGACTTTTCGACTTTTCAATTTGTTGGTTTTCCCATTTCTCGATTTCTCCACTTATCGTCAATTCTTTGATTTTTCAATTTTTAGATGTTTCAAATTTAAAATTTTTCGATTTCTCGGTTTTTCAGTACTTTGATTTTTCTGTTTGACAATTTTCGAATTTTAAAATTTTCGACTTTCGATTTTCCAATTTCTTGATTTCCCAATTTTTCAATTGTAGATTTTCCATTTTTAATTTTTTTTTGAATTTCTGATAATCCAATTTCTCGTTTACTCAACTTTTCGATATTTCAAATTTCGAATTTTAGATATTTTAAATGTTGGATTTTTCGATTTCTCGATTTATTTAGCTTTGGTGAAATATCGTGCGAGAACAATAATATCTGGCGCCACCTCGTGAGAGTCAAAATAGACTCAGAATAAAATAAATTTCACGAACAAACATAAGAGGGCGTTGTGAGTTACAACTCTCCTCCACATGTACTGGAAGCAGAAATGAGTGAACCTCAATCTCACGCACTGACAGTTACCGAATCAGTTTATCCAACAAAAAAAAAACAAAAAAAAATTATGACCCCTTTTCGACCAAAGTCACCCAGAACACTTTATACACACCCAGCATCGTCCGGTTCCGCCTACCTTGGTCTCGCACTCGTTGGCCTCCTTGAGGAGGTTGAACAGCAGGTTGAACGCCGAGTCGAGGTAGTCCCGGAACTGGTCCGAGTTGAACTCGAAGTCGTCAATCGCGTGCCTCAGCGTCGACGAAGCGGTCAATCTCACAGCCATGTCTTCGTCGGGTCCGAGGAGGGTTATGATGCACTCGTAGAGAGCGGGTCGCAGCTCGGGCGACAGTTTTATGCCGGTCCAGCGGCCGATTAGGGCGCACACTCGTCGACGGATTACCCTGTAGTTGGTGTGCTTCACCTTCAGTTCCTGCGTCAGGGTGTTTGTGAACCACTGATCGAAGTCGATCTACAAAAAAAAATAAATGGTTGAAGCTATTTCGATGGAACTTCCCTCGTTTCTGAAGTGCAACCACCAAATGGCGTTTCTTTGAAAAATTATAAAAAAAAATGCGATTTTTGTTTTCTGGTAACCTCTGTAAAGTAAAAAGCAGTCACGAGTGCGAACGATATAAGATATACAGGGTGGTGAAAAATGCCGCATTTGCTCCATGGTACGTTGTTAAGAAGGCTCAGCAGAACTCGAAAAAAATGGTTAAAAAAAATCTCTGAATCAAATATATGAGTTTAACGGAAACTTAAAATTCCGATAAAAATTATCAAAAATGACATTTCTTGACAGTAAAAAATGGCCTTGTGAATCATATTATAGCAAAATATTATTAAATTATTAACAACTAATTGTTTCACTGGCTATTAGATAACGGAGGTCGTTGAAACAAATCAGGATTACGAAGTGGATTTTTCAAATTTGACGTTCAATATTTTCAAAAGTTTGGTGCAGGAATTTTTTTAACAATTTTTTCAAGCTTTTCAATGACTTCCTAACGTCATTTTATCATCACCCTGTATTTAAAGCAGATAATAATAATCAACGGAAAAAACTGTAATCGAAAAATAAAAAAATCGAATTCCGAAAAGTCGAAAAATCTAGGGTCAAACAATCGAAAAATCTAAGATTTAAAAAATCAAACAGTCCAAAAACTGATGAATTGATATACTGAAAAAACCCAAAACTAAAATGTCGTTAAATTGGAAATTCCAAAAATCTAAAAATTGAAAAACCGAAAAAAAGAATAATTGAAACATCGAGAATACGAAATAGCTCAACGAAAATTAAAAACAGCACAATTATAAATTTAAAAAAATGGATAAATCGAAAAATCGAAATATTGAATGGAAAAATGAATAACCGAAAAACCGACACATCGAAATCTCGATAATGGAGAAATTGAGAAATCAAAATAGTTCAAACAACAAATTAAAAACTGAAAAAATCAAAAAATTGAAAAATCCGGTAATTGAACAAACGAAAAATTGAAAATTGAAATCTCGATAAATCCTGAAATTGAAAAATTGAAAAATCGATACACCAAAAAAGCGAATAAATGAAAAATCGAAAAACTGAAAAACCTAAAAGCGGGGAACGAAAAATCGAAACATCAAAAAATTGAAAAATAAAAAAATTAAAATATCGAAAATTTGAAAAATCGAGTAATTGAAGAACTGAAAAATTCCAGAACTGAAATATCAAAAAATAAGGAAATTGAAAATGTGAAAAACCAAAAAATCAAAAAATGGAAAAATTGATTAACCGAGAAATCGAGAATTGGGCAAAATCCACAAGTCGAAAACTTATAAACGCAAAAAATTGAAAAAATGGAAAAATTCGAAAATCAAAGAATTGACGAAAAGTCAAGAAATCGAAATATGGGGAAACCAAAAAATCGTAAAGTCGAAAAATCGTGAAATGGAAAAGTCGAAAAATAAAAATTATAATTTCGAGATCGAAAGTTTGAAAATTCGGCAAGTCGAAAACATATCAGAAACGCAAAAAAGTGAACATTTGAAACAGGGAAAAACTTAAAACTAAAATATAGGAAAATCGAGAAATCGAAAAATAAAGAAATTGAGAAAAGGAAAATATGAAAAATCTGAAAATCAAAACATCGAAAAATCAAAAAACTGAAAAATTCCAAAACTGAAATTTCGAAAAACTGAGAAATCAAAAAATCTGGAACATAAAAATTCGACAACTCAAAAACTTTGAAACGCAAAAATTTAAAATTTCAAAAAGGCAAGAATTTAAAAATTGTAAAACCAAAATATTGGAAAATCGAGAAATTAAAAAAATCAAAAAATTGGGGAAAAAAAAATTGAAAAATCATAAAACTGAAATAATCGAGAAATCGAAAAATTAAAAAAATTGAGATTTCGAAAATTTGAAAAATCCAGACATTGAACAACTGCACAATTCCAAAACAGACATAAAAAAATTGAGTAATCGAAATTCGAGAAACTGAAAAATTAAGAAATTGAAAAATGGAAAAACAAAAAAAGCAAAAAACTGAAAAATCCCAAAACTGAAACACCCAAAAATTGGGAAGTCGAAAATCGACAAATTGAAAAATAATAGTAATAAAAAAACTGAGATATCGAAAATTTGAAAAATGGAGAAACAGAAGAACTGAAAAAGTCCAAAACTCACACATCGAAAAATTGAGCAATCGAATAATTGAAGAATCAAAAATCGTAAAACTGAAATATCGGAATCGAGAAATCAAAGAAGAAAAATACTGAGAAACCGAAAATTTAAAAATCGCGAAATTGAAGAAATGAAAAATTCCAAAACTAGAATATCGATAAACTGAGTAATCCAAAAATCGAAAACCGAGAAATTGAAAAATTGACAAATTGGGAAATTGAAAAATCCAAAGATTGAAGGACCAAAAACTGTATAATCCCAAAACCTAAAATATTTAAAAACCAACAATCGAACATCGAAAATTTGAAAAACTGAGAAACCAAAACGTAAAAATTTTAATAATAAAAAAATTGAAAAATTGAAGAATCGCAAACTTGAAGAAAATGGCAATATTGGAAGATCGAGAAATCGAAAATTTGAGGAATCAAAAAACTGGCATTTCCAAAAACTGAGAAATCAAAAAATCGAGAATTCGAAATTTCGATCATTCAAAAACTGGGAAACGCAAAAAATTGAAAACTTGAAAAATACAAGAATTTAAAAATAGTAAAACCAATATATTGGAAAAACGAGAAATTTAAAAATCGAAAACTTGAAGAATAAAAAAATTGAAAAAACAAAAAATTGAAAAATCGTAAAACGGAAATAATCGAGAAATCGAAAAATAAAAAAAATTGAGATATCAAAAATTTGAAAAATCGAGAAATTGAACAGAAAAATTCCAAAACTGACATCAAAAAATTGAGTAATCGAAATTCGAGAAATTGAAAAATTAAGAAAGTGAAAAATCCAAAAAATTTATAAACGCAAAAAATTAAAAATTAAATGGAAAAATTGAAAAATCGAGAAATTGAACAAGTGAAAAATTCCAAAACTAAAAAATCCAAAACGTGAACCATTGAAAAATTAGGAAATCGAAAAATGAAAAAATAGATTAACGTAGAAATCGAAAATTAGACCAAATCGACAAATCACAAAAATTTATAAACGCAAAAAATTAAAAACTATCGAAAATTGAAAAATCGAGAAATAGAAGAACTAAAAAAAGTACAAAACTGACATCAAAAAACTGAAAAATTGAAAAAATCAAAAACCGTAAAATTGAAATATGGGAATCGAGAAATCGAAAAATAAAAATATTGGCATATCGAAAATTTAAAAATCGAGAAATTGAAAAAATGAAATAACCCAAAACTGAAATATCGAAAAATTGGGTAACCAAAAATTTTAAAACCTGACAATCGGGAAATTGAAAAATCCAAAAATTGAAGAACTAAAAACTGAAATATCTAAAAACTACGAAATCGAAATCTCAAACACCGAAAATTTGAAAAATTGGGAAACCAAAACGTCGAAAACCGGAAAAATTGTAATTAATCGAAAAATCGAGAATTCGAAAATTCGATAAATCGAGAATTTAGAAACACAAAAAGGTAAACATTTTAATAATAAAAGAATCGAAAAATTGAAGAATCGAAAACTTGAAGAAAATGGCAATATCGGAAGATCGAGAAATCGAAAATTTGAAAAATCGAAAAAATGAAAAATCTCAAAATTGAAGAATCAAAAAATTGAAGAAACAAAAAATTGAAAATTCGTAAAACTGAAATAATCGAGAAATCGAAAAATAAAAATTAAGTTATCAAAAATTTTAAAAATCGAGAAATTGAACAACTGAAAAATTAAGAAATTGAAAAATCCAAAAAATTTATAAACGCAAAAAATTAAAAATTAAAAAAATGGAAAAATTGAAGAATCGAAAAATTGAACAATAATAAAAAAAATTGAGTTATCGAAAATTGAAAAATCGAGAAATTGAACAACTGAAAAATTCCAAAACTGACATCAAAAAATTGAAAAATTGAAAAATGAAGAAACTGAAAAATCGAAAAACTTAAAAATCAAAAAACTGAAAAATCCAAAAAGTGGACCATTGAAAAATTGGGAAATCGAAAAATGGAAAAATTGATTAACGTAGAAATCGAAAATTGGACCAAATCAACAAATCACAAAAATTTATAAACGCAAAAAATTTAAAATTGGAAAAATGGAAAAATTGGAGATTCGAAAAATTGAATAATAAAAAAAATTGAAATATCGAAAATTGAAAAATCGAGAAATAGAAGAACTAAAAAAAGTACAAAACTGACATCAAAAAATTGAAAAATTGAAAAAATCAAAAACCGTAAAATTGAAATATGGGAATCGAGAAATCGAAAAATAAAAATATTGGCATATCGAAAATTTAAAAATCGAGAAATTGAAAAAATGAAATAACCCAAAACTGAAATATCGAAAAATTGGGTAACCAAAAATTTTAAAACCTGACAATCGGGAAACTGAAAAATCCAAAAATTGAAGAACCAAAAACTGAAATATCTAAAAACTACGAAATCGAAATATCAAACACCGAAAATTTGAAAAATTGAGAAACCAAAAAGTCGAAAACCGGAAAAATTGTGATTAATCAAAAAATCGAGAATTCAACAAATCGAGAAGTTTGATACGTAATAAAATAAAAATTTGAAAAAGGAAAAAATAAAAAAATTGAAGAATCGAAACTTGAAGAATCAAAAAAGTGAAGAAAATTGAAATATCGGAAGATCGGGAAACCGAAAAATTGAAAAATAAAAAACCGAGAAATCGAAAAACGGAAAAATTTATTAATTGAGAAATCGAGAATTTGATCCAAAACTTAGAAACGCAAAAAACTGAAAATTTGAAAAACGCAAAAATTTAAAAATCGTAAGACTGAAATATTGGAAAATCGAGAAATCGCAAATTAAAAAAAATCAAGTACTCGAAAATTTGAAAAATCGAGAAATCAAAAAATCTAAAAATTGACGAATCAAAAATTTGAAAAATCGTAAAACTGAAATATCGAGAAACCGAAAAATAAAAAAATTGAGATATCGAAAATTTGCAAAATCGAGAAATCGATGAACTGAAAAATTCCAAAACCGACATCGAAAATTGAGTAATCGAAATTCGAGAAATTGAAAAATTGAAAAATTAAGAAATTGAAAAATCGAAAAACTGAAAAATCAATGTTTTGATTGACAAATCGAAATGTCGAGAAATAGGAAAATCAAAAATCGAAAAATCCAAAAATTTAAAAATCCTAAAATAGAAAAATTGATTAACTGAGAAATCGAGAATTGAACAAAATCGACAAATCGAAAACTTATAAACGCAAAAAACTGAAAATTGAAAAACTGGAAAAAATCGAAGAATCAAAAAAATTGAGAAATTGAAAATTTAAAAATCGAGAAACTGAAGGAAGAACTGAAAAATCCCAAAACTGTAATATATAAAAATTGAGTAATCGAAAAATCGAAAACCGAGAAATTGAAGATGTGACAAATTGGGAAACTGGAACGACATGAAAAATCAAAAACTGAAAAATTCCAATAAGTGGAAAACTAAGAAATCGAACATCGAAAATTTGAAAAATTGAGAAACTAAAAAGCCGAAAAGTGGAAAAGTTGGTTAATCGAGACATCGAAAATTCGACAAATCAAGAATTCGCAAAAAGTAAACATTTGAAAAATTGAAAAATAAAAAGATAGAAAAATCGAAATGCCGAAAAATCGAAGTTCAAAAAAATTGAAAAATCGAAAGTTCAAGACTACGAGTATGTTATATTTTAACGTATAAATTTTGATTAACAATTTCCGATAACCTTAAAACGTTCGCAAGATTTCAAAGCATTCGATTTTGCAATTTCAACGTTAAATTGTAAAATATTATACAATTTATTTATATCTTTTTAAATCTGGATGCCAAGGGTAAACTAGTACTTGCTCAGTTAAGGCTAATTTTGGCAAATGGCATACCTTGAAAAAATATAGGGCGGGTGGGCGGGGCTAGTACTTTCTAAGATAAAACTAAACAATATTAAGAGTAGTCACAGGAATGAAGCGGAGTTGTTTTATTTACTTTTAAATGGAAATTGATTTGACAAGAGATGTAATCTAAGATATAAAGCAAAGTAAAACGTCGCCCCTCCCACCCACCTCTATTCCGTTTTAATCATTCATTCTTGTTGGCTCAGAAGAGTTTTCAGTTTTCAGTTATTCAATGTTTCGGTTTTTCTATTGTGAAATTATAAAATCGAAATAAATTTTGAAAAAATAAGGGAAATGTAGAAACGAAAAATTCTAATATCAAAAAATGGATCGAACGTAAATACATAAATCCATATATTTTTTTAATCGAATTTCACTCCGAATATTTCTAAAATATTGCTCGGTTACCCTAAACACGTTATTGTTTAATATTTTATAAAATTTAAATAACATATACTATTGCAAAATTCGGAAATGACGTCATTCCATTGTTAGTGGGATGATCAGACAAATTATGGTTAGACAGAAAGAGCTATTTTTTCGTACTCTAGAGAGAAAACATGAAAGTAAAACGAAAATTTGTTCCAACTTACAAAAACACTTACTTCGTCATACAAATCAAAAGCCGCCAAACTAACTGCATTGTACACGGCGTCCTTACGTAAAATCCCCTGCGTATCGTCCGGCGAAACAATACAATTAGTCTCGTGCACCATCTCTATCAAAACTGGAGCCAAAGCGTCCCGGAACTCGTGAAATATCGTCACGAAAACAGTCTCCATACAAGGCTGCAAACACACGTTACCTCCAATGCGCCACTCCCTCCCGATACCTACCCTCAAACTATACTTCCAACTATCACCACTCTCGTCGATCGCGAAAGTCTCAGGATCCGCGTCCCACATTTCCAGCTCATCTTGCGTCAAAATAAAATAGTGCGAAACCAACTTCCTACATATCTCAGTCAAAGTGTTAGCTTGGAAAAAATTAATCTTAATCTCGTTAGCTCGCAGCGTCTCCTGCTGTTTACACATCTCGGGAATTTTCGGTGGCTTATACTCCACACACAAAAGAATATTTTTGATTAGGTTAAAACACTGTATAATAAAACGCTCAAACAAAAAATTAATCCCGTCTGGAGTGAAGAGGAAATAAGTCGTAAACTCCAACGACGGCTGGATAAAATCGATAAACGAAAATGGGTGCGTGTCGAGAACTGAAATTAAAACTTTCGTCAAGTGGGTGACGAATTTCTCGCACAGCTCGATGGTCTCTTTGTCCCTTAGTTGCTTACCTAAAAAATTAAAAAAATAATATTAACACAAAACGAGTTTGACGCACTCACGACACTGAAGAACGATTTTGGCCCTATCGAAAATAACTTTCAAAAACCTCATACAATCCTGGTTCTGGTGTGGTCGATAAAACCCGAACACCGTCAACTTCCTCAGGATCCTCAACGTCAGCAACGCCTTCTCTAAATTCGCTAGGATTATCTGCGTACTGGCCCCTCGCATCACGTCACTCAAAAACAACTCCGTGAAGCTGTTCCACAAGTTAAGCACGAACGAATAAATATTGCTTGTGAAATCCTGGAAGAAGCGGCGATCGCCCAATAAGCGTTTCGAAGCGATCGCCTTGACCACGTGATAAAGGGTCAGGAAAGCCCTGTGCTGGATCAAGGCGTCGGGGCTTTCGATCGCTTGCAGCAGCGTCGGAAACAACTCGGGCCATTCTTTTGGACAATCTATACGTGCGATTTTTGATATAAGCACGGCCCTCTGGACCGCGATTTGACTAACGGGCTCGCTGAAGTTCAAAATTAGACCTTGCTTGATGTTCTGCTTCTCGGGCTCGGAAATCGCGCTGAAAGACAGTCGTTAGAACCGAGTCGAGGATCCAGGCAAAACGTACAAACGCGAAAACAAATTTTAAACACCAAAAAACTACAATTAATCGCGATTTTAATTATTTTTGCGCGGCGCCATCTTCCGGCGAAAATTTGTTCCAGAGGTTTGCGTCTCAGCTATTTTTGTTGTTGCACGACTTTGCACTAACACAGTTTTGTTAATTTTTTAATTATTACTAATATGATCGCCTAATTCGTGGACACAAAGATTATTCTACTTAATAGTCACAAAATTGCGTTTTACATTTTGCCTTCAACTAATTTTCTAACCTCAATTATCAGTCAATACATACTTTGGTAAATTCCGCCTCCAGTACCGATCTATGCCGTTCTTTATGTACAAAACCGCCATCCAGCGGACGTTTACGTCGAGGGATTGATTAGACAGCACATTCTGGAAAGCCACATTGTAAACAAGTCTAAAGTGAGACCCCACTTACGAATAAAACTGTGTAGAAGCCAGGCTGCGTCTCCCACTCGCGCAACTTGGCTTCCGCCGGCTTCAGGACTTCAGGGCTTTGGCTCGAAGCCCTCTGCAAGACCTCGATGACTATATCTTGAGTGGATGCCGTGTTCATCGTGGATCATGAGCATCTCATCACCTGGAAGCAGTGCGGGGTGGTATTGCGGTAACAGGTGGCACAAGGTTGCGCAAATGCTCGAGGCGTAGGTTCTGGGTGGAAATGTTTCGAATGTGGGCACGGTTCGGCTAATATCTATAAATCAGACCGTGCATGTGTGGTGCAGGGGGACAGCGAAAGTGAGGTTAAGTCGGGCGAGGAGGTGCGGGTTTGGTGGGTCGGGGGTGATGATTGGAGGCGAATGATGTCTGAGAGAAGGCGAGACGACTCACTTGTGGGTTCTTTCTACCAAATTTCTTGTTTTGGTTTGGTAAATAAATTAAACGTCAAAACACAATGACACATTTCTTGAGAACGGGAGTGGCGCCATCTGCTAGTGGAAACGGGGGGGAAGGCTAAAGTGACATTTGAAGGGTGTAGGTTTCGTTATTGATCAGATAAATCGGAAAAGGTTCGAAGTATTATAGCAGAAAAATAGTGAAATCAGATTGTTTATTAATAACATACAAATAAATAATACAACAAACGTTTTTATATTATTAATAATACAAAAATTGAAATTCTAGTATAGGCAACCCATAATACAACCTTAATCTCTGGTGGTAACCTACGTTCACCCCGAAACTTTCTCTTCATCCACCTGCATGTCGTACTTACCCTTTCCAAGATTTCGAATACCTTCCAACATTGATTAAATACATCTGATCACCCCACATACCAAAAAAGATGATAAAAAAGACAAAAAAGCAACAAAAAAGAAAAAAAAACTAAAAAACGGTTTTTTATTTTCTTTAGTTTTAGAATTTTTCGACTTTTTAATGTTCGGTTTTCATTTTAAATATTTATCTCGTATAGTTACAATTTAAAAAAAGCACTTTTTCCACTTATCTATTTTTCCAATATTGGGTTTTAAAACTTTTTCATTTATTGGATTTTTCAATTTTTCGATTTTTTTTTTTAATTTCTCAATTTTTCAGTGTCACAGTTGACAATTTTGACGATTATATATTTTTCGATTTTACAATTTTTGGGTTTTTCAATTTTTCGATTCGATTCGTTTTTTCCTCTTTCAACTTTTTGGATTCACTAATTTTTTTTAGTTTTTAGTTTTTCAGTTCTTTGACTTGGAAATTTTCGATTTTCCTATTTTTGGATTTTATTTTCGAATTTATAGTGTTTTGTTTTATCAATTTTTGTTTTGTCACTTTTTCGATTCACGATTTTTCAATTTTTAACTTTTTTTATTTCTTCAATTTTCAGATTTCGCAATATTTCGAGTTTTCAATTTTTGATTTTTCAATTTTTCTATTAATTAATCTTTCATTTATTCAAACTTTTGAATTGCAATTTTTCGTTTCGTCTTTTATTTGCTTTATTTTTACAATTTTTCGATTTTTCGATGTTCATAATTTTTGTTTTTACAGTTTCAATATTCCCAATTTTTCGTTTCTTCAATTTTTCAATTTTATAATTTTTCACTTTTTCGTTTCTTCAGTGTTTCGATTTGAATTTTTTATGTTGGTTTTTTATTTTCTTTACTTTTAGAATTTTCCGATTTTTCAATGTTCGGTTTTCATTTTAAATATCTAATAATATATATAATTAAAAAAAAAAATTACTTTTTCAGTTTTACGGTTTTAAAATTTTTCCATTTTTAAATTATTGTATTTTAAAAAACTTTTTCATATACATACTTAATTTTTAAAAGTTTCGATTTTTAATTTGTAAATATTTAATGTGATACAATTTTCGATTTTACAATTTTAGGGTTCTTCTATTTTTCGATTCGATTCGTCTTTTCTTCTTTAAAATTTTTCGATTCACAATTTTTTTTTACTTTAAAGTTTCCAGATTTTTAGTTAGCGACAGAAAAGCGTGTAGGGACCAAAAAGAGGACAAAAAACACTACAAAATTAGATAAAAAAAGGTGTTGAAAAAAATGCGAAAAAAATTGACAAAAAAATTAGACCAAAAAAAAGACTACAAAAAAGACCACATAAATAACAAAAAAAAAACAATCTACAAAAAAAATTGTTATCAAAAAGTGTCTAACAAAAAATGTGTTTCAAAAAGGTGACAAAAAAGACAAAACGAAGAAGAATAATAAAAAGAATAAAATAATGCTTTAAAAAATAAATCAAGCTTCAATAAGCGAAGAACTGCAAAAAATTAAAAACGAGACAAGGAAAAGCTAAAAAAAGCGTCAAAAATATGAGAGACACGTACAAAGAACGTACTAAAAAAGGAAATAAATAAATAAATAAATAAATAATCAAGAAAACGTCACAAAAAATACGACAATAAAAAAAAAGCAAACATGCGCAAAACAACCGACGAAAAAAGATAATCAAAAGAAAATGGTAGAAAAATGTTAAAAAAAGGCCACAAAAACCAGCGACACAAAAAAACTGCGACGGAAAAAAGTGACAGGAAAAGACGGGAAATAAAAATAAAAATACAAAAAATACCAAAAAATTCTTCTAAATGGGGATATAATAGGCTGTAAAACACCAAAAAATAGCAAAGAAACGACAAAAAGGCGACAATTGAAAGCATGAAAACGCCACAAAAAATACAAAAAATGAAAAATCGACAAAAGAGCAAGAATAAAAATACAAAAAAAAACAAATATGAGTAAAAAAAGACGAAACAAAGGTAAACAAAAAAGCCATCAAAAAGACGACAAAAAGGTCATAAAACGCGCTACACAAAAACTGCCAAAAAATACAAAAAGCGGCGTCTAAAAGAAAGTCACAAAAGAACTGACAAAAAAGAGGTGAAAACGACAAAAAACATAGAAGTTGCGATAAAAAAAGTGACCAAAAATATGCGAAAGAAAAAATGAGTCAGAAATATGAGAAATTAAGATCAAAGGGCGAAAAAAAAGGCAAAAGAAATACAACAAAAATATATGATAAAAATGATTGCACACTAAAATAGCCAATTAAAGCAGACAAACAAATATAAAAATATAAAACACAAAAAAAAATATCAAAAAAGCGTCAAAAAACAACCGAAAAAAAATGACACTTGGAGGGGACAAAAAGAGGCTAAAAACACTACAAAACAAGAAGAAGAAGAAGAAGAAGAAAAAGCGTTTAAAAAGGACAAAAAACGTAACAAAAGATCGAAAAAATGGCTACAAAAATGAGAGGTTACAAAAAAAGACCACGAAAATTGCGAAAAATAAGCAACGAAAAAAGGTAAACAGAAAAATTCGAAGAAAACAAAAGACCAACAAAAATTGTCACAGAAACAAAACTATCTAAAAAAAACTTTCAAAAATGCGACTAAAAAAAGTGCCAGAAAAAGATACCGCAGATGAAGATAAAAAAAGACAAACATGTTTTACAAACGTCAAAAAAGACATAAAAAAAGAGTGACAAAAAGAATAAACAACACA